GTTCTTTCCTGGGAATGAGACTGGGAGGTTTGAGGGAGTCCCACCTCGCCCATTCTGATCTCCCTGATCCAGACCAGGTAGGGGGTAGGGGGGCTTCATGGCTCTGGTGCCATAGACTCGCTCAGTTCTTACTGAGATGTTGCAGATTTTCTTTAAAAATGTATGTTTCATTTATTGTATGCCCCTGGAACAATCTCCAGAACTTTTAAATAATTTTTATCAGTTGTGATTACTCACTGGTAAGGGAGACCTCAGAACTCCCGTGTGTCCTTTGGGACATAGGCCTTCATCTCTGGCACTGGTAATTGTTTTCCACAGAATGTGTTAATTCTTGGCTTCCTAACTTAGAGTGGTTGTGATCAGATCAGTATGGTAGACTTCTTAGGTAGACAGATTAGGAAAGGGGACACAGGAGGCATATACATATTCTAAACTGAAGAAAGGATTAAATTAGGAAATGAACAATTCTGAGAATGGAAGGTTGGGGTTATAAAGAGATAGTACACATTCATCAAAGTGCATGCCAGTGGAATGTTTATGATGCCAAGCAAGGAACACTGTTCTAGTAATCAAGTGATTGTCTGTACTTTCCATGAAGTTTGCAGAATAGTATTTTTTTTAAAAGAGGCTTGAGCCTTATCTTTCTATGGTTAATCTCATGCATAAGATGCAGCTTTTCTATCAGTTCATTCATTGTGGTAGAGTTTGAGAGAGGCACCTTTCACTTACAACTCTAACTCCTAGTGAAAATGCCCAAGAGAATCTTAAATCTTGTAAAGCAAGGTGCAAGGAAACCAAGTAAGACTCTTGACAATACTGATGATCATTCTCTTCCTCCTGTGAGTTAAACAAATAATAGCAGTTGTTTTTTCCTTCTTGGCATTCTGTAGGCTGACTTGGGTGTATCACTGCCCGAACAGGGGGACAGTAAACAGACTCCTCGGTCCCCTTGCAATGCTGGATTCTGAGGTCATGTCAGTTTCCGGAACATGGGTAAGCTATTGTTTTTCCCTTTCCAGGATGGAGAGATAAGCTCTACTTCAAATATTTATTCTCCTTATCTTGTCTGTTCTAATAGGGGACTTGGTTGTGATGCCATTTCACATAAAATGCTAAATATAGAACAATGTCAATTGGAAGAAATAGGTATTATTAAATGGAATGACTCTTTTCAAATTAAAACCCTGAATGTATTAGGGGAAATGAGAGCTTATCATGTGTTGGCAGGATTACAGAACTTAGTCATTCTCAGGGACCTTCCCATTTTGCTAATAGCAGTTTAATGGTTCCTTCAATAAAGGGAAGTAACAGTAAACAGTGGTACTATCACTTAGCTTGTCTTAGCAACCAAAATTAAAATATACTCAACAAATTTTAAAATCATAAATTGCAAAATTTGATTAGCTACTTACTAAAATTGTACCTATGACTAAATTTTACTTTCGGAGACATAAAAGAGAGAAGAAATTGTGCAACTTGTCTAATACACACATAAAAAATTATATTTAAATACATATATTTATATCATATTATTCAGCTTTCCCATTGCTAGGGCAAAATCCGTACACTAACAATTTAAAGTAGGAGAGGTTGATTTGGCTCATGTTTTCAGAGGATTTGGCCCATGGCTGGCTGGTTCCAAGGCAGGAATATCATGGAGGGGCTAATTATTTGGGTAAAGTAATTAGCTAGAATCCATGTTACTGAAGATTCACGACACTTGCTCAGAGACAAAAAGGCAGATTTCAAAGGAGTTTGGAAGTACACTTGCCTGTCAGTTCGATGATCCTGCTTGATACTATGCCTGCCCCTTAATAGCTGACAAGAAACAAGCACAGATCCAAGAGGTCTGAACGCATGCCATATGGCATAATAAAAAGCAATAGTTTGGAAAATCAGCCGGGGATATAGCTCAGTCTGGCAAGCATGAGGTGCTGAGGTTGATTCTCAGTACTCCCCCCAATCATCCGGAATTCTTCCCGTGTTTGGAAAATTAAATTGTTAAGATTGAAAGTAGAAGTTCATAAGATAACATGATTATTACATGTGGGATACACCATCATTTTTATCAACCTTTGTTTTAATGAGTTTTTAAATAGCTTAGGGTTTCTATATAGTAGGAATTACAAACTTTTAAAAATTTATTTATTTATTCTTTGAGATAGTCTCGCTAAACTTCCGGGGCTAGGCTTCAATCTGTAATCCTCATGTCTGTCTCCCAGAATGCTGGGATTACAGAGGTGCCCCCCCACCTGAATTTTTTCTTTTGTGAATGGTCCATGAAAGCTGAGCTAGGCATAGAGGTGCAGGCCTCAGAGAGGCTGAGGCAGGCATTACAAATTTCAACCCAGTCCGGGAAACTTCGTGATTTAGTAAGACCGTGTCTCAATTTTTTTTAAAAAAGAGGGTTAGGGAGTAAGGGTGGCTAGAATTATAGTTCAGTGCACAGGCCCTCAATTCAGTTCCTAGTAGTGCCAAAACCAAAGTGAATACAGATCCCGTATTTTTCTTAACATCTTTCTGAGTTCCTTACCTAGTTAGTTCAAAATATAAATAGAAGTAGCTAGAGATCATACATACACATTAAAACATTTTAAATCATCTTTAGTCCTATTAAAATGTTGTGTATGCAAGTGTACCATTTGAGTTGGTTTGCTGAGTATATCTCATTCTAAAAAATCATCTTATAAAGGCCTAAGAAGGTTATTATCTTAGAATAAAGCTACAAACCCTCAGAATGCCTCAGAACTTGTCATTTGGGTCCATTTCTCACCTGATGTGGTAAATCCTTGGGTCAATACCTGTCAGACTGTCTGAAGACATTCACCGATGGGCGACTCACTTTTCCATGGTGTGAACCACTCAGGGTTCTGAGTGATTACTAGTTGTTAGTCACTATGCTAAATGCTTTTTTAACATTACATAAAATAATTCCTTGCTGCACTAATCTCTACTGGTGCAGAATGGAAACCCAGCTCACAGAGCTAAGTACATGGAGATGTTTGAAGCTAGCCTGTGCTACACAATTAACTCAAGACCAGCTTGAACAACATAGTGAGACGTTGTCACAAACAAATAAACAACAAAAACAAAAACAAAGAGAAAGAAGAGATGAGAGATGGTTTATAAAGAAGCTACAGTAACTAAAGGTAAACTTAATAAGAAAAATGAGGTGAATGCAATGAAAGATTATGTCTGAGAGGAAGTGATGGTTGCATAAAACTTAAAGAACTCTGCTGGAGATATTTCATGACTGAAATCATAAAAGGATTATGCCAATTTGCCAAGACACAGTTACAAGATACTTGCTCTATATCACAAATTGTATCATAAGAAATCAGGCACTATTCAAATAATCTTGGAGAGATTTTTGATCAGTATTTGATATATCTTAAATCATGGTGTTAAATATTAGCTTTGCTATTTTTTCAGTTCCCCATATATTTATAATTAACACAAGAACTTTTAATACTTTCATATTTCAGAGGTCATGAAACAATCATACTTTGAAGTTTCAGCTTGCATCATTTTTTACAGTCTTGTGAAATGTGCAGAGCAGAGAACGTTTATGTACGTGAGTACATGTATGCATATATAATAGCGACATTCTGAAACTCGTGCTCTTTGTACTGTACAGTGGCTGCCCTGCATCCACTGCATGACTGCATTGTTATTTCCCTACTGGTGGACATTAAGGCTGCTTTCAGTTTTTCACGGTTACAATGGATACTCTTCTTTGTGCACATATGCCAAATATTCTACTGAATCAACTTCTACAAATGTAAATATATGATCAGTAACATAAACTTCAGTTCCAATAATGGTTATAAGAAATCAATACAGAATTAATATGTTTGAACAGCAGAAACTGAAGTGTCTAACAGTACAGCGATGGAGAGAACGTGGACTCCCTAGCTCTCACACACTGCCTGCTGCATGTAACCGGTAGATCCTCTTTAGAAACAGTGGCCTACATGTTCTCTGCACTTCCCATAGCTGCATGCAGGATGGGGTCTTCTCACCATTCAGATACAAGTGTGACGCCTGGGCTACTCTGTGAACCTTGCTACAGTGACGTTGGTTTACGCATTCATTTCTTTCCTCTCAACTACAAGATCTAGGACAGGCACCTTGTCTACTCCATTCATCACTGTACCTAGAAAAGACCACAGAACAGCTTGCTCAGTTAGGTAAACGAATACATTTGTATCTCTTTACAGGGGCTGAACATCTTTACTGTATCTCTTCTAGGATTCGCCTCCTCAGGTCCTTTGCTAACTTTCCAAGTACACTATTTTTCTCATTGGTTCATAGGGGCTCTTCACATGTTGCCAGTATTCCCATTAATTGTTTCTATTTTGTATCTTAAAAACATTTTAATTTTGACTTTTATTCTTTTGTTACAGATGCTTAAAAATTTTACCTGGACATACATGTCAATCTTTCCAATCACTGCTTTTAGGTTTTAGGTCATTCTCAGGAATGCCATCCTCACCAACAGACTTTTCTCCTTTATCTTCTTCTGGCATTTTTCTAATTATATGTTGTTGTTATTAATTCCTTTCAAATTTTTGTGTGTACTTTGTCAAGCAGATCTACTTTTTGTTGTTGTTCTCAAAGTTTCCCAATACTATTTACTGAACAGATCACCATTTCCCAATATATTAAATTTTTTATAGTGATTATTATTATTTTTTGTCTTTTTGAGACAGGGTCTTGCTTTGCAGTTCAAGCTGGCCTTGAGCTCACTTTGTAGCCCAGGCTAGTACCAAACTCTCAAATATCCTCCTTCCTCAGCCTCTCAAGTGCTAGGATTACAGGCGTGAGTCACCATGCCTGCCTGTGATTACATTTTTTGATTATTGAATTAATTACAATTAAAAAAACTATTAAGTTCCTTATTTTCCCAAAAGTTCAAATAAAGCGTGACTTATGGGTTTCTTTGGTAAAATCACCTCACAAAATATTTAAATGAGAAAGTATTGAAACAGAAACATGCCTTTAGAGAGAAAATATTTAATCTATTTCATGGGAAAAAGTACAAAGCTTTAGGAAAGGCGCATCAAGTTTCCATGTACAGTATAAACACACCCGTGCTTCCTATGATATCACATGTATTACATGGTTTTAGAGTTGGTGAAGGCACGGTATTCTCATTCCAAACAGTTAACACATGCACCTGGAAAACACCATAGAACACAGTCTCAAAATGAGTATAGAAAACGTTATATAAAAATATATTAATCTAGCTACATTAAACACTTAAAAATACACAAGTGGATTCTTTTAGAATTAGATCATGTCTAGAAATATCAGTATTTGACTTTCAAATTAATTTTCATTGAATTTTTAATCAATGAAGAAAATAAATATAATCAAGCCTTTGGAATGCAGGTATGAAGTCAGCACAGACAAACCTGAGTTTCAGAAATAAAGTCACAAGTTATCCACACAAAAAATCAGGAAGAGTCTGCATCTCTACAATTTGATGTATGAAATGTTATAATTTGAAGCAGTAATAAATATATACAAATCTCATTTGCACAGCAAACTTTGATTCTACAACTCACATGTGAAGTTGGGACAGCAATAACAAGATCTATAAACTGGCTCTCAATATACCCTAGCAAGAGGTTTTTAACCTTTTAAAAAGTATTAGACTTTGCAAAACATAGTTAGGATGTTATACCTCAAAGTAGAGAAAAACTAATTTGAATCCACACAGGATATTGTTCCCCTTCTTTGAAAACTGAGATATCAGGAATCCCAGGAAAAAAAAAATCCACCACTACAAAATCGTTCTTCCATTACGAATGGTTACTTACTTAATTCAGTGAAACTTTTAGAGAAAGTATTACTCATTAAAGACCGGAAGCCTGAGGTGTGGAGTGGAAGTGCTGGTTTACTTCTGCAGGTAAACTGCTAAGATAAACATCACAAGCATTCACGAACAGTATCTTTCACCTCCACATAAACAAAAACTGGCTAGTGTTTCTGATGGGACCAAGGGCAATGACCACAAATGCTGACGACAGAAGTTACACGGCAGTCAGGAACTGGCCTGTTTTTACTATTCATTAGTGTAATTTATCAACTAATGTTCGGTCCTGTTTACCTCAATATATATTTCTCATAAACCTAGCACAAAGTTGGTAAAAAGTAACAAAGACCCTATTTAAACTGGCCATATTTAAATCAGCAGGCTGATATTCTTCCCTCCTTGTCAGTATAGTTCTTTTCCTTTTATTTCATATGGAAATATGTAACCAAGAATATGAGAACTGAAAGGGAGTAAATTATGTTTGCTCATACTACTCTTTAAATTTTCAACATTTAAAAAGAAAATCTCACAATCTGCTTAACTATTTTCTGACCAGGCCTTTAAGCTGCTGCTTAAAGAGGAACAAACTCATAAGGCTGTCGTGCTCACTTGTGGAGGGCTTTTTAACATACGAGCGATGTCAGGGATGGCAACCCGTTTAGAGGGTTTGAGGATGGCTAACAGCTTACGGCGGCATAAGCACCATCAGTTCCCAGCATGGCTAGGTGGGAGTATGTTTGGAAATGCCTGTGATGCTTTTACTCCGAGGCTTCCAGCAGAAAAGAAATATCCTGCACTTGGAGTGACATGCCAGAGGACACAGCAAACGATGAGTAACTATAAGTAGGCAAACATTCCACAAGGGCCTTAACTCCTCAACTCTACAGTGATTAAACCAAAAAATCGGCACGCTCAAAACAGAAGGGTTGCATCAGGAATGCTGAGAGCTAGCTTATTTCCCCGGCTTTCTGCAGTCAGACTGGCCACTGGAAAGCCAGCAGCCAGTCTCAGATGTAGATTCACTACATGCAAAGCCAACGTTCATCAGTCATGGAACACGTAATAGGTAGATTATTCATGTCTCTAGCTTTTAATATTATTTATGCTACCTTATTGCAAAGATATGGAAGAAAAGCAAACTTTGAATTATGCAGGATGAAACAGTGACTAGTGCTAAATCTTTTATTTATTTACTTATCTTTATGCATAGTTTATTTAAACTATGTACCACAGGTGGAAAAAGGAATTTTGGTTGATTAAAGTGTGACACCACCATCAATTTCTTAAGTGCATTTCCTAAGGATTTTATAACAAAATTGATAAATTGCTTACTGTACATTACCACCTAACTGGCAAACTATTTAACAATAAAAAGATGTTTACATTCTGTATGTATGTTTACATTTGATCATTCTGATCATAACTGCTCATTGCTATGCAACATTTTACTTCATTCCTTTATCTAATACTGAAATAATAGGTTGACCCTGGCAAAAACTTTCCGGTGGGGTGGTCTACATACCAGCATTATTTATGCTGGAAGAAAGCAGACTTTTTACTTCTCTTGCTTGCTTTAGTTAGTCAAACAAGATTTTCTTAAATGGAATAAACTCAGGATTTGGGGCAGTCTTGCACTTAGAATTCAGTTATTCTTTATGACTAAGTGTCAACTGCCATCTGAAGACCACCCCGAAACAGCACTGCTGGAAGACAGGAATTCCTTTCTTAGGTCCACCTGCTAGAAAACTGTATGTCTGAAACTAAGAGTGGTACACAAAACCTTTTGGGAAATAATTATACAGACAATGTTCAGGCTCAAATAAGAATATATAATGAAAAGTAGTGGATTTAAATTTCAGAAACAGTAATTACTAGAACTTTTGGGCTTTCTCAAGTTACTACATAAAACTATAAAAGATTTATGTTAAAAAAAAGGCCTCTTTGACAGGCAGTGCACAGGTGGGTGAGCAGACTCACGAAACAGGCTCTGCACCACCTCCTGCTCTGTTCCAGCTTCATCAGTCAACTAAGGAAACGTGGCACCTTCCTCACAGGCTGTGCTGAAGAGTAAATGAGTTAACACACACAAGGCACTCCGAGAAGTCCTGGCAAACAAGAACTCAGTGAACACAGCTAGTCCTCGTATTAGTCCTGTATTCGAAGGCCTAAAATGTCCACAGTAGGATTCTTCCTTTATAGTCTGTGTCCACACCCTACTTGGTAGCAGACCCGGGAAATGCCTGAATGGAAGCCCTGACCTTCACTTCTCGCACCTGTAGCATCAAGTATCTGCTGCCTCCAGGCCTGCTCTGGGCACTGGCTCAATGGGAGCTCTCTGGTCTTCAGCCCTGCTACCCACACCATAAAGCCGGGTTCTCACTGCGACAATGGACACAATGGCCAGTTGTCTGGATTACAAGGCCATTTGGAATCTCAGCTGAGGCCGTGCATGTCAAAGCGCCATCGCAGTGAAGCTTTTTGGTTAAGATTCTATTTGGGTGCGAGCTGTTGAGCACAAGTTGTAGGTGTGTGGTGTAAGGGTGGATAAGTGTGTTATCTGGACGCAAGCCAGTCTATTACTCACAGCTGTAGACCTTTTTAAAATTTTATGTAACTGTAGGTACGCTTCTTTACGATATTGTCTACAAAATAGCATTGTGTTTTATTATAAAAGTATCTCTTCTTAAACCTTAACTCTAATAGAGAATATACTAACATATTAAATACTTGATAGAGAAATGTTTTCTTTTAGAAATTGCAGTTGCAAAGAAAATGTCAAGCCATGTGACTGTGGTCACAAGTTATTACCACTATTAATTAAGCTGTTCAGTAGCTGTATACTAAATGCTAAATGCTAGGTGAATAATACTTCATTAAATACTCACAGCAACTCTATGAGGCACCAGCCCTATTTTATAGGATTAGAAGCTGTGACCACAAAGCCACAAAGCACATGCTCTTACTCATGACATTGTGTTACAAAACCCTGGAAGAAAAAAAAAGGCATAATTTCTAGATTTACCAAAACAAACTGAATAAAGGAAACTGGCAGATCTCAACTCCAAAATATATTCCGATTGGTAATAAAAGTGACTTCAGGAAAATTACCATGTTGGTGTTTTTGATTTAATTTTAAATTGTTAAAAAACATTTTATAATTTTTTCCTCTAGTTTTAGAAAATGCTCATCATTGAAAAAAATATAAAAGCATTAAAAACATCCAAAGTCTTATCATCCAGAACCATTAATACATACTCCCTCTGCAAATAATTTTATGTAATTATGCACTATGACATTTAGTTTTTGATGATTTGAAGGAGGGTTTTGAGGAATTCAGGGCCTTATAAATGGTTAAAAATACATTCTACCACTGACCTATACCTATACCTCCAAGCCCTAATGACTGTTCATTATAAAGCCTTTATATTGGTATATACAATTAATAAATTTTGAATAGATACAAAATTAATATATTATAGGTAGGTGTTATCTTTCCAAATTTTCTAATTTTGGGAATATAAGCAAAGCAAAACAGTGATTTACCTCAGTGGCATTAGCTCAAAAGTAGGCTGGCAATAAAAGAAATATATGTATTTCTTGATTTTTTTTATGTGTATACATACATGCACACAGAGCATATATAAATATATACACATAAACTCATTCACGTGTTAATCTCTGTTTGGCTCTGCTAAAATTTATAGCCTTTTGAAGGCTTAGTAATACTATATTTAAATACATTATTAGGACAGTTATGGAAAAATTTGTTTTTCATAATCATGGTGCTTACAGTTACAGTTAAGGGTGATTAACGTGCAAGACTTTCTCTTGTGAATAGGTTAAATATAAATATTTGCTTGAGAAAGGGATAAACAAAACTCTTTACGGAAATCATGGCAATCCTGAGTATAAGTTTTTCAAAAACTTACTGTTTGTGAATTGATATGATAGAGGACGAAAAAACAGAGACAAAATAAAATGATTTAGGGCAATGATTTTGGGTATTATGCTAAAATTTGTTTAATGCCACCTTGCTGATATTTTAATCTTATTCTTTAAACTATCACTGGATACAATTTATGCAGCAAGAAAAGCAAAAGTAAAAAACATTAAGAAGTCCTTACAGAGAACAGAAGGCAGACATGGATCAAGAAGCTTTTAAAATAAACTTTCTAGTGCTTCCCCTTATGTAAGAAGTTTATATTGGTCATAAATTCTAAGCACTTGCTTTATGTGGTTTATTAAAAATCAGACTAATTCATTATAAATAATATTTTAATATAAAAAATGCAAACTGGCTGTGGATAAGAATGTTTACTAAATCAAGAGAAGTATTAGTTTACAACTAATCTAAAACTAACGCAGACAAGGGAAAATTAATGGATACTAAAGTAGTTTTGGATTGTAATGTATATGAAAACAATCATAATATATATGAAAACATAATCATGTCTGTGTGTTACAGTGAAAGATAAATTATCAATTATTTCTGTATCAGTATGTTAAAACTATATATTCTTCTGTTAGACTATGAACTGTTTATATCCTCAAAAAGGAAATGACTGGGCCAAAATATTCTTATCCTGTCCAACTGGAAATGAGAAGTAAAATGTCAAAGGAGATTAAAAAATAACTAAGGTCTATTCTTCACAAGAGAGAATATCAATGTTATCATCATTTTATTATAGAACAGTATTATTTTGGTTGGTGTAGAGGGAGTAGGTTTATGAGGTAACGATGTATAATTTTAAATAGGATTCCTTTCCATTTTACATTTATATTTCTTTTTAAAAATAGCCTTAGCAGGCTGCTAATTAAATCAGTCATGATCTACACTCTTACTTCAGAGATTTTGCTAACCCTATAAATAAGACAAGCAAATGTTTCCTTTTTGAAACTGTACTTCAAAAAAGTATACAGAAATGGACAGACAATGGTGTCTAAGATTACACTTTAAATTTACCATTGTTTCTGAAAGAGAGGAAGCATGTTATCTTACATTGTCTATAAATATTAAATAAATAAACATGGTTCACCTGATGTTTTAAAAATCTTACATGCTGATTAAATTAAAAACATATTAAATCAGTCTTAAGAAAAACAAGATTAGGCTTTTAAATAGCTATAAAGATAACTTACAAACTGGGAGTGGTGGTGCATGTGTGTGACCCCAGCACTGGGCGAGGCTAAGGCAAGTGGATCCCAAGTGCAAACCCAGCTGGGGCAACTCAAGGAGACGCTCACTGGCTCAAAAGACAAATTATAATAAGTTTTACAAACCCACTAATATTCAATGACTGTTTCCTTTGGGTTAGGAAAACAAACAACAAATAAAGAACACAGCAAAAAAATTATTGCACGTTTTAGTCCTAACAAATGAGTCGTATATTAAAATACACTATACCTGCTATCTATATAAAGGATTTTACATTGAAAATTTCAATTTGAAGGATAAAATCCAATTTTAAAAACATCACCATGAATGATCATAATTTAAATTCTGAATATAGCATCGTCCTAAAAAAACCCAGAAATCTGCATTTAATGCTTATAAGTGAAATATAAATTTCCAAAATAACATATATGTCTATTTATTCAACTGTCACAATAATTTGTTATCATAGGTAGTATTGTGTCCTAAGTCCTTTCTCCTTGAAAGCTATATTATTTCTGGGGACTCTACTATTATCTGACACGAAAGTGTTCATTAAAAAAAAACAACCACTCATCACGAATACACTACCGTCACCACAAACCAGTTATAGGAGAGGGTTTGCATCCCCTTACATATTCTATGTTCAGCTTTTTCTATACAAAGTTATAAGGCATTAGTAGTAGTACGTTAAAACAACAAGTAATTTTATAATAAAATAGATAGAAACTCTCTTTTAAAAATATCTCAACTGACAATATCACAGACGAAAATAAAGATTATGTGTAGCCCTCATATACTCTTTTAAGTTTCTACTGCAATGAAAACACTTTTTTTTTTTTTGGGTTTAAAACAGACCTTATGCCTTGAATTGCAGGTGTCCTTATACAAATGTGAACTGGAGCTTAGGTATGTATAAAGTTACTGTGAACTTTACATATCTGAATATGCTGACTGCTATTAAAAAAGGTTTTAAAAAGTCAGTTAAGATGCCTGGTACTACTCTAAGTATTCACTGCAAATTCTCTTAGACAGTGCTTTCCACTCCAGTGTTGACTAGAGAGACAGATCCTAATAGCACTGTAGACTATACTGTCATGGTTTAAATGCTGGTCAATGATTTAGCTAACACAACTAGAATGAAGAAATTTCTTTATAATAAAAAGTAAATATGGAACAGAGCTTTATTTTAAGTTAAATTGCTAGAACAACTGAGCAACTTAGGATCCAGAGGCAGAAATAAAGTTTTTTTCCTAAACTATAGCCAAGGTAGTTGAAGGACAGGGGGACACAGCAAGCAGCTGCCAGCTAACTTGCTAAAACACATGCTTGAGCTCTACAGGAGCTATGGCACCTGCCTGTGTGTCTGATATCTGCAAAGGCTGACTGAACAAAATGCCGTGCATCATGCAAGCACTGCTGTCTGCACTGCAGTAATAAAGAAACACACGGATAGACAGAACTACTTCAAGTGACAAGCAGTTGCCAGGAATTTGAAGCAAAATTGTCGGTTGGTTGGAAATATTCTCTATGTCTCCAGATGGTATCTGTCCTTGAAGAAGCCACTCATTGCCTAGAAAATCAAAAAGCAAATGATTAACACTACATAAGAAGACAAATAGGAAACTGGAAAAAATCTAAGGAGAAAGTATCTATTCAGTCAACAAACATTTATTAAATCTCTAGGTTCCAGGTATTATAATTTGTGGGAACTACATCAATATGAATAAGATATGACCACTATATCTAATTATTATGATTACTGTTTCAAAAGTTGTAAAATAAATCATGAATTTATTTTTATTGATATCATACAAAATATTGCAAATATGGCTCTAAATTCTTACTCCTCAAAGTTAAAAATAAAATCTAATAAACTATAAATAAACATAGGATATGTGAGATAGATTATTTTTACTGATTGGATAAGCCATTTCTTTACACAATGATACCACTGCATATAACCTGAGTTAAACAGTAGAAACTAAGAGATTTTATCTACCTCAACTTAATATATGCAATTCTACATAGACTTAAACATGCAGACTTAAATATCTATCCAAAAAATGTCTAACAAGCCACCAACAATTTTCAAACTTTTTGACTGTCTCTATTCACCTTGAGCCTTCTTCCTGAAGGAACCTTTGTGCCTGTTCAGGAGGCACAGAATCATGTGGACATTCGGATGTAGAGGGTGGCAGGCACCAGCATCCAGATTTGAGTAATACCGTAAGTGCTCTCCTGCCACCAAAAGAAAATACGCTGACCCTGATCTCACGACTTCTCAGTGACTCAGGGCTTTTGTATAAAAACTGGACCATCCATTGAGTAGGAGCAGGTGGGCCTCTCTCTTTTCTAATTAGGAGGACTCAGACCACCTGCCTCCATCAGTCCGCTCCATAGCTCCTCCATTACACTGCTTCTAATATTCTGCTGAAAAATCAACTTGAGAAAACTATGACAACTCAGGGATATCAGAAGGTGGAAGATAATACTCTGAAGAGTTAAGTACAGAGCTTTTATGTATAAACTTTTAAATCTTAACGAATTCTCTCAACAACTCTTGGCTTTCTTTGCTTATTTCTGGACAGCAAAGTATTTTACACAATTCTTGATTTTATTAGAGAACTTAAAATTTGTTTAGCTATGTTTCATATATATTACATTTAGGATTTGTGAAATTACAGTATGCTAGTTATTTTTCATGATGCTTGTTTTGGCTTAAAACTTTCACAGTCTAACTACCTTAAGAATATCTGCCTCTAACTAACCACCAAAAAGAGAAAATTTCCTTTATTGGTTAATTCACAAATATACTCTATAAAGTAATTTTCAAAACTATTAGAATTATTAAAAGTCATGCCTGAAAAGCTTACTTGCCTGAATATTTAAAAAAAAAAAAAAAAAGCCAGCACCTTGGACAAATGAAATTAAATAGCTCAGTATTGCCTCTGTGGCCTACTTCACTTAAATACTGTTTGGCATTTTATATCCCAAAGACTTATTATTAACCGATTTGAGCATTTTAACAAAGCAGAACTTAAAATATTAATTTGTCAATAACTATTTTAAAAACCAATGCAATGGCCAAGGATTCAGTACTCTCCTGTCCACAAAGCCAGTCACAGCGGCCTAAGTACGGCATGGTCAGCTCTCTTCCTTGCGAAGAGCCAGAGGAGTGGACTCCTCACAGGCTCAGTCAGTTACTGACAAGCGAGTCTCTCAAACCCGAACCAGAAGTCGGCCTGGTACTCTACCAAGATCTGTTTGTCCTTTTGGTTTGGATACTGAATTGACAGTTGCAGGCCAGTGGCTTCTGCCCTGAGAATATATGAAGGTAAGAAGGCAGGCAGTCAGGATTTGGGTAGTTTACAAAAACAGTGTATGAGAGGCCATGAGAGAGGAGGGGAAGAGGAAATGGAAGACTGAGTGAGAACATGTGAGACAGCAGGGGAGACACTCCTAGAGAGGATCATCTGAGATAAAAAGCTGCACGTCAGAGTTCTGGACCTCACTTCAGTGCACAATCACTGTCCGCTAGGTTACAATGCTGGAAAACCGGACGGCATAAAGGTGACTAGAAGGAAGAGCTACGGAAAAGTATGAAGGCAGCTCCACTTCAGTTTTCTTTTTCTCATTTTTTAACTTGGGAGGTTCTTCTTGGAAACAAAATGAAGAACAAGGTTTGGGAAGAGACAGAGGCAACTCCGTATGCAGAGAAACTTTTCAGTGAGTTACACTGTTCTCTAATAAAGGGAGGCACAAATTTTGAAGACTACAGAAAACTGCGGAAGTAGAGTTAGATTTGGATTAATCTTTCTTACAATCTACCTTAAATCTTGCCCACATATCACAAAGAGAAATTATTAGACATCAAGAATTTATTAAATATTTGCATTTATAAGATTATGTGCATACCTTCAGCAGCCAGAAACCAGCAACTGGGCACTCCGTCAGTTAGCTTCGATCCTGGTGGAAGGTCCAGTCTGAGTTTGAACTGGAGAGTCTGACCAGGACAAACAGTCACTGGAGAAAGCCTGATGGTTGGGGCAGATCTAGGCAGTTTGGGCACTATTTTTGGTTTTTCTAGGAGCAATGGGCCATCTACCACAGCGTTTTCAGATTTGAAGATGGGCAGCTAGGAAATGAGACCATCTGTTATTAAAGCACACTTTTAAGTAAGAGAACTTATTTTCAGACCTCAAGAGAAAAAAAAGTTCTGTATCAATGAAACCAATTGCTATTCTAGTCTAATTAATGGGTACAGAAAAACAGTTCACCTTAGCAAAAAGATTAGCAACACTTACGTAGGAGATGACATTAACCTGTTTAGTATTTTTATAGATGATAGGAAATAGAAATTGTATGAATTGAAAAGTAGTAGATATAGTATAAATACTCATAATTTTCACTGCCAAGTTTGTTATTTGACATATTCACACATTAGATGAGAGATCTAATGAAGAGAGATGACTCTTTCAATGGCAATCCGGTATTTGTTTTTTTTTTTTTTTAACTTTAAAACATGTCTTACAAATTATTAGAATTTTAGAAAAAAACCTTGCATTTTCTTCAGGTCAATGTGATACATCAAGAGGTAATTTATAATCCACATTTCTCACTAAAAATTCTAGAGACCCTGTCCATATTGTTAAAAGTTGACTGTAACTTGATTTTCTCCCAATCTTTAATGTCTTGAGAAATACAGGTTCTAACTATTTCTCTGAAAGATTATTTGATAATAGATTCACCATTCAAAACAAAAATTATACAATATTCTAAGGATCACTGAATAAAACAAACCCAATCCACATGGTATATGTATGTATGAAGTGTTGTTGTGTTAGTGTATCTATACTTTTAAAACCAGATCTAGATCCCTCTCCCTTTGTTCTTAAAGGTCCATCAAATTCTCTCCACCTTCCAGTATCTTTTTCTCAAAATTTCAGCACACATAGAACTTTTATGTCAAGAATTAGTATAGCCTCAAAACAGGCCTATTGGTTTAGTTATCAAAACAAAACAAAGCAAAACAAGTCAATGGAGGCATTCACTTACTACCCTGCCAATCTCATCACCAGAGACGGTCTGACCAAATGTGTCTGTCAGTGTTACAGCCTTTTGTATCATCATCAAAAGCATACCCCTGGGGCCGAGGATTTGGCTCAGTGGTATAAGGGCTTGTCTGAGTTCGTGAGTTTGATCCCTAGTACCAAAACACACACACACACACACACACACACACACACACACACACACACACAAAATGCACATCCCATATATTACATGCTTTAAGATAACTTACCACAGAAATTGTTTTTGTTTCTAAATCCATCACTTTAATCTGATGATTGTTGGTGTCTGCGACATATAATAATCGGCCATTTTCTCCAACACACAAGCCTCCTGGTTCATTAAAAGTTGACTCAGTAAAACTGGAACTAGTAACATTATTTGTGTTTCCAGTCCCTGCTAATGTTGTACAGTTTTTTGTTTTTGGATCCACAACTTTAATCTGAAGAAGGAAAAATATTTACATAGTTGAAGACAAAGCTCATTTGTATTATGGAAGAGTGCAGTATCAAAAAAATAAAAACAAGTTGTGTGTGTGTGTGTGTGTGTGTGTGTGTGAATCCTGACTGCCATTAGCATTCTCAATAGATCTTAGAAAAACAGTAGAAATTTACTGTTTTCTTGAAAAGTCAAACATTCAACTTACAGTCTGATAGTCTAAGACATAAACTGTAAACTGCCTAGTTGTTTTCTAGAAGTGATACTGAATGAATTTATCACTGAAATAAAAATGAATAAATTTTGTTTATCTTCACAACATAGTTGTGAAGAACATACTTGCACAACTGAGCTTTCATCTTAGAGCATTGCCTGAGCATCTGTACCTTTATTAAACTTAATGATTGTCAGTTACATCTCAGTAAGTTAAATGTATGGTCTCTCATCACAAAGTATTGAATTTATTATCACTGATTTTTATAAAAAGGCAATATGCAATGAAAACCACAACAACCAAACACACAAAAACAGAAACACTGCTGACAATGGAATTATCTGCTGTCAGGCAAACAACTATGCGACAGCTCAAACTGTTCATCTTTTAGTAAATAACACTGTCCCTGCTACTTGCCTAGTCCATATTTCCTGAATATGTGACAGGCAGTTCACAGCTTTAGCTTATAGCTATTGGAGTTGGTTTAGTGCTTCCCAGTTCAGACATATCAGAACCTCCTGACAAAGAAAGGACCAAGAGGAACAGAGTACAAAAGGTACACGGTTGGCACTAGCTGTTGGTGCTCTATATTTTAGAATAAAACCTACATGAGGCATTCAGGTATTTCAGTGTTTGAATACCACATTACATTGTTCCATAGACCCACCTTGTGATTATAGGAGTCTGCCACGTAAAGCAAATTCCTCTTCTTGTCCCACGCTACTCCAAGTGGGTGTTGAAGCTTTGCATCAATGCCTACTCCATCAACATCACCAAAAGCAAACAAATTCTTTTATTTTTTTAAAGAGAAAGAAACAATAATTACTCAAATTTCCGTAGTGCATTGTTACATTATACAGTGAAAATTAAAATACTTGAATGTGCTATTCAAATTCAAGGGGAAAGGTTTGATTTTCGTATAAATGGGTGCATACTGGATGCAGAGTAATAAATTATAGAATTTTGAGTCTGCACTAATTTTTGGTGAGTTGTCATTTTACTCAACAGTTCTGGCACATCGTCAGGAACAAGTCAAGTCTCCAACCCACTGCCAAATACATAAAATAGATACTCCTTTGCGCTCTAGTGATGAGTATTTTATCCTTTCTTTTTCCCTGAGGACTTATCATTTATACATGAACAAGTAGAGTACGATTACTTTTTTAAGATGGCTTTGTGTTTCTTTATATTCACATTTCCTTCTATTAGACTTCCATTTAATGCATGAATAGGCCAAGAATGATCTCTCCTAGACTTCATCATAACATCTTGCAATTTGGGAAAAGTGCTAGCATGGTCAGAGTCTGGGCACACGGTAAAAGTGAGTTTCTTTACCATGGGGTCTCTTTCTCCTCCAATGAGGTGCTTCACTGCTCCATCCTTCAGGGAGACAGTTCTCACAGTGCTACTCTCACTATCTGCTACGAACAGGCAGTTCCAGGGATCTTCAGAGGCCAAAGAGAGACCTGAGGGTTGAGCAAAACCCGCCTTGTGAGGATATGCATTGTTTCGATTCTCTTCATTTCCACTGCCAGCAAACCGGAGACAAGTTCCTTTTTTTAGCTCACTGAAAGACAAGTTCATAGGTGGAGTCAACGAGTGGGAAATGTGTCCAACTCAGTTATGAAATGTATGTGAGGGAAAGAATCAATGGTGACAGCACTGTAAAAAGGGATGGGGAGGGGAGGGATAATCCTAGCTTAATCTGGTACATAGTGACTTTCCTACTTTACTTCAACATAAATATAACTGAAACATGTCTCAAAGGTGATACGGGAAATTCCTGACAGGTTCAGAATAGTAATTAGACATTAGTAAATGTATTCTCATTCCTTGATTTCTTCTTACCTTCATGAACTAGCAGGTTCTGAAAGGGAACTACAAGAGGCTCTTGAAAATGATATAGGGTGACCATACTACATTAACTAATCAACTGTGCAGAATCGATTTCTTTTGTACATTAGGGAAATGTCTATTAAAAGGAATGCTCCAGGGTAATGCAGAGAAAGTTTTACAGTTTGATTTCTGAATTTAAGCCAGAAAGACTATAAAGAAGACATGGTAATATGTTATATAAGGAAATGAAGAAGTACTTAGAATGCAAAATGAGGGACTACATGTATACGTTTCTAAATATAATACAAATGGAGAAATTTAAAATAACCATCTCTTACTGATTGATATGTTCTCAACGCTAAGGTAAGCAGGAAACAGGAGACAAAAACAGAGGGATAAAGAATGTATAAAAGATGGGATTTATTTAAGGAATTTATAATATGTAAAACAAATATATCAAAAATATTATGCGAAGGAATCTAAACACTTTAAAAAAGAAGCTCCCTTAATAAAACAAGAGTAGGGAGAAAATGTCACTTAAAAATTAGGAGGCCTGCAGATGTAGCTCAGTGGTAGAGTCTTGTCTAAGCCCAGTCCCAGCAGTGGTAAACAAGTATCAGGGCCCATTACCACCAGATGATCATCAGTCATACACAGATAACACTTACCGAAAATAAAGTTGCAGTCAATGTGAACTGAGTGACTATTTTCTTATTATGAAGAAGAGTAACAATTCTACTTGCTAGGAAACTTAGGCAGCCCCAGATCATCTATGTCCGACAGAGCTATCAGCCTGAACAGCATATTCTGGCAAGCTGTTCCTTCTGTTTGGTGTTTGTAAGCATGTCTCTCATGTACCATTATTGGAAGACAATGACCATCTCCTTAGCGCTATGTCTTTCTCCAGTCTTGTGCACTCAGAATGTTGCCAGGGTTCTTTCAAAGACACAGATCTACTTATGTCACTTCTCAGCTTAAAACTTTCTGTAAAGGCCTGCAGAATGTCCAAATCTCTTCGAAGAACTCATAAGGCAAGGAAGGCATGATTCAGCTTTCACTGATATCATTAGTGTCAGCCCAATTCTGGAAAACCTCCCTAGCTCCTGCTACTTCCAAGTGGTCTTCTGGACATCTCAAATCTTATTAAGCATCTCTCTTACTTTTCTACAGGGCAATTTCAATCTAAGGGATTACTTTAGTGATTCATTTTCTACACATTACTTCTAGTTTGTTCCTTCTGTAAGCTCACTGAGGACAGCCACCATGTGCTTCCATTTTAACCTAACATAGTGAGCACATAAGTTTGTTTCTAGTGTCCAGCAATGTACCTAGCACATAAGTATATTAATAAATATTTTAAATAAAAAGTTAAATGTCATAAAACATGATATAATTCTGTTCCAAAGCAATCTATCTGGAATGTCTGCTATTTTGGATGATCTATATAATTGCTCTTTTTTTTGCTGATAAAAACTGGTAATTCAGCATTTATGGTTTATGACTTTCATTCATGTATTTACTTTGCAAGTTTTTAATAAGCTCCTGTTACGTATTAGCCATGATACTCGGTATAGAGGATACAAAAAAGAACAAGACAGGTTTCTTTTCTTTAAAAGATAGTCTATAAAATTAGTTACATATAAGTGCAACCAAAAAGGGCTAGGGAGAGACAAGGAGGGAAGGAGGCTGGCCAAACCGGTCAATACAGTGATGTAAACACACAGAACAGTGCGGCTGAAGGGAGAAGAGTGGCCAGCTCTGTGGGGCATGAGGGAGAGGAGTGCCAGAGGGAGACCTGACGGGGGACTGTGCAGGCACACTGCCCTTTCACTTCTGCACACCCAAAGGTGGCAGCAAAGCTACCTATACTGTGTGTCTCAGGCACTCTGTTCACCTCTTTCCACAGATGATTACTGCTCAAGCAAGCCTACGAGATGTTATAAATCAAGAAACCAAGGCTTGGAGAGTAAAAGGGCCTCTCCTGAGCTGACAGAGATAACAAGTAGCAGAGCCAGGATTCAGCTTCAAGCCTGATGACAAGACCCATGCTACGAATGATTGCCATGTGGTCCTCAACTATTTGAAGGAATGCATAGACATCGGTACAGGCCCATCAAATATTTCTAGTTCTCCCATAGGGTGCTCAGGAGGATTGTTTTTCCTAGGCTCCCACACAACGGGTGTAGCCACAAAATTTACTGCCCCCAAAGGAGTATGAGTAGAGGTGCTGTATCACTGCGGAGCAGAAGCCTTAGGAGCTGGTCATTCACCACCTATGTCTCTCCTACTCTGCCAGGATGACTGGCAAAGCTCCAGAGGGTGACTGCATCATAGCCTGGCGGTCAAGTAGTGCTCCCCAGCAAATCTATGCAAATTAGCAAGAAAACAGCTGTGCTAAGCTACTGAGAGTGCAGGCTGTCTGTTACGGTAGTCTAATTTGGCATATCCTGCCAGTGCAGCAGGTGTGGTCAGATGGTGACTGGGAAGGGGATGCTGTGAACTGCTGAGTGCAGAAACAGAGATGCCACCACTTACTTTTTCTTTGGCAGTTTGCCAAAATCCAGCAGGAGTGCCCATATCTGATGAATTCCTGCCATGGCTATCCACAAGATGTTATTTCTCTGGACCTCCGAACCTTGATAAAAATAAATAGTGATTATTATATACCTATTTGATTAATATGAACACTCTAGTTGCTTCAGATATTTAAATTCATAGACAATAACAATATATTCATAAATTATCTAATAGAAAAGAATATATGTAACGTTTGAACTTGAAAATTTTTTCTTTTCTTTTAAAAGGGTTATTCCTTCAAGCTTGTAATTTTTCCAAAGTGTTGTTTTGGTTTTTTAATGGGGTACAAGTGTGATAATTCATTACACACATGCAATGTATAACAAGTACTTCAGGGTAACTAGCATCTCCATATCCTCTAAAACATCCAGTGTCCTTAATGTTCCTAAGTTTCTGGGCACAATATTTTTGATCATTTGATTTCTTAGTCTGACAAAAGAAATGGGCTGACACTCTTCAAAGAAACTCTTCGCCAGCCAAACACTTAAGAGTAACCCTGCTGATTATAACACACCAGTATCAGGTTCTCTAAATAATTTCCATGAAAGAACTGAACTAAGATTTTAAGAAATATATATTCTATCACAGTATAAAATTTGGGACTCTCACATAAGTTAGGACAGCTATTTAAAATCCACTCGCTAACTGGTTATGAAACTAAATAAGAGGTAATAATATACAAAAAGACCAAGAGTATGACACATTACAATAAAGCTATTTACTAATATTAATAATAAATGTTTTTAGTAATGATGTCAATTTATGTGATAAAACTGATTTCTAAAATTAATTCTATTATATTACTTAACTATAATAATAATACATTCTGAATTAAGATATTTTACTTAAAATAATTTAGTTGGAACTGTTTTATACTAAAAAAACTTAGTAAGGCTATTTTATTTGTATTTTCTTTAATTTTAATTAGTTTGTGTCCATAAGGAATTTTTCTTCTGCTTTTCAATTTAAAAATCTAAAAAAGACCCAAAGATGATGATGTTCTCAAGGAACTATGACTGTTAGGTTCCAAGCACTTTAGAGAGACTCAATCTGAAACAAGTATTCAGAAGGGCTAATTTGCACCCAAACAAACAGGGAGGGCTTGGCATGGTGAGGTTCAGTAACTGCCAGGTCCACTGAAGTGGCATAAGAAGGAATGGCCCTGGCGGCACAACAGAAAAATCCATGCCCTTAAACCACTACACATGGTGCCTCTTTCTCTGTTTTCTAACTGCTAACCCTGAAAAGGCTAAATAATTTAATTTATTTTTCATACTTAAAATATGTGTAGTTAAACACAAACTTTACTGAAAGTGTCACTGGTGCCCATATCCTCCTGGGACTCAGTCTCTGTTTAATCACTTTTAAACTAGATTGAAAGCTTTCCACAATTAATTTTTAACTATCTTACTGCTTTGGCAATTACTCTAGGGATAAGATTCTGGAAAAACTAGGATAACCAGGATGCCTAACTAATAAAATATTCCCTTGTTTTAGACATATTGACATTCAAATTGAAGGTTCAAAGCTGTGCTACACTCAGAATAATGCTTAGAGGTAGCAACATCCAAATGTCAGCCATGCTTATTATTAATGCACCTGGATCTCAGCTGTACAGGATGCTGCACAAGGGCAGTAGAAACACATTTACAAACTGATAGAGGGCACTGAGGGTAAGAAGTATGAGACAGTGCCTTTCACTTGAACTTTTAAACTTTATAGTACACATTAACACTGCATATATTACCAGCAGATGACATCTTACAAAGCTCTCAGTCCACAACTGCTTTATTTGTGTTAAATCTATAATAAGTTCAATAAATCCAACATTATAGTTTTCAGCATTAACTAGACAAAATGATTTTGTTTCTGCTTAGACAACAGTATTACTAACTAAGGAAAAGGTCAAAATAAAATAAAAATGTTTAGGAATATAAAAAAGCTACAAAGTCCAAAAATGAATAATTCTGATTAATTTTAATTTAATTTGAAGTCCTTTCCATTCATATTCAAAAACTTATCTTTATTCAGTAATATTTTAGATACTACTTAAAGAATTACAAATGATCATGCTTTCAAGCTCACTATTCAGCTGGGCATGGTGGTCCACACCTGTAAGCCAACACTCAGGAGGCTGAGGCAGGAGGATTGCCATGAGCTGGAGGCCAGCCTGGACTACATAGTGAAACCATCTCTCAAAAAACAACAACAAAAAAGAAGAGAAAATGAGAACAGTTCATAAATTTGAGAATAGCTTGCTATATATAGTTAGTTCAACGCCAGCCTGGACTGTGTAGAGAGACACTATCTCAATAAAACAACATCAAAAAAAAAAAAAAAGCAAGAAAAATCAAGTTTACTACTCTGCCTTCCATTTTCTCTGCCTGAACTCCACTGTTCTGACGGTCGTGTGATAGACCTTTAAAAGAAGAGAGCTCTGGGAAGCATCTCGTCCTCCAATTCCTTGGCTGTGGAACCTGGTGCACCTGGATCTGAATCCTGACTGTACCATTCTGTAATCTGTGTGTCTCACTGTCTCCTTTGTCAATGAAGGTATTATTGCCAACTTCATCCAATACTGAAAGGGATGAATAAGGCAGCATAAATAAAGTGCCTATTGGCACATGTTGTGTAATAAATAATATTTGCTGTCTTTCAACTCTTAGACCGAGCATGTTCCCTCTTTCCTCTTCCTAGAATGCTCAGCCACCAGATGCCAGCATTCATTTAAATCTCCGCTCAGATTCTTTCCTGCTCCCCTGCCTTAACACATATCCACACACTCCAGAGTTCTCTGATCCCTTATCTGGCCTTATTTTTCTCTGAAGCATTTATCATTTTGTTATATGTTACATATTGTTTATCACTTTCTCTTCTATTGAGCACATCACCTAAGTAGCTTTGTTTTACTGTTTTATCATCAAGAACTAGAATATTACGTAGCTCATAGTAAATATTTGTTGAATAAACTTTCTCTGAAGTATCATAAGAAAAATGGTTTCTTTTTTGTCATTATGCCCACAAGCACTAGTTATCTTAATGACAGCTAGTATTTCCTAATAGTATTAATGACTCATCTCCAATCAAATAAGTCTGCTATAAATGTAAATCTGTGCCATTATCCTCTAAAACATTCTAAATGGGAGTGAAATACCACCCCAAAAATAGTTTTAGATATTAGCTGGATATGATAGTCATGCCAAAAAATTTATGATAAATAATAATTTTTTTATAAATTACTCATTCCATTTTTATATTTTAAAAATCTGTAAGTGTAGGTGGATTATATTATGCAAATTTCAATTTTTCACATAATTTATTAGGGTAAGAGGGATTTGGGATCTGACAGGAATGAGACTTCTAAAATCCACATAAAAATAAAGGCTCTCATCAACTCTTAACACTTTTCTAATCATGATAAAAACAGCACACTGGGCTCTAAAGACAATTTATTCAATCTGATAAAGAATGCTTTGAAAAGAATCTAAAGCAAACAGCATATTTAATAGTGAAATACTGCAACTATTCTCCCTGTGAACAAAAATAACATGAAAACACCTGTCAACACTTCAGTGTAGCAGCATATGGAGGTTCTAGTTTATACAACAAAGAAGGAACCAAAAAAAGTATAGACTAGAAATACAACCGTAAATAACAGATGACATGACTATATATGCATAGAACATGAACTGCTAGAATCCATGAGTGAACTTAACAAAAGTTGTTGGATATAAGGTCAATAAATAAGAGTAAGTTCTATTTCTACACCATCAAATCAATAGAAAAACACCAAACACCTAAGGGTAAATCTAATTTTAAAAAAAGTCTAAGTCCTCCTGACTGAGACAACGACACAGTAACAGAGTAACAGATGGGATACATCACCTCTTTCCAGTGTCTCAGCTTACACACCCTGGGTACCTCTGGTGCTCCTTTCTCTCCCAGGCCACACAGAATCTATCAGCAGATCCAGCTGGTTCCTCATTCAAAACATATCCAGAATCAGATCACTGTTCACTGTCTGCACCATCCTCTAACGCCTCCTAACTGGTCTGTCATCCTGTCCTGAAAGCAGTCTTTCTTGCACATGAATATTCTACCCTAAGAAAATTTGGAAATGCTGAGTAAGGCAAATTTAGCTCCTGGCCTTAGGAATTTTAGAGCCTCTGTCTTAGCAAAGCAGAACTATGCCAGTGCACAACTGAGTGCAAGATCAAATATGGCTCCCAATCTAGATCTCTTAGCAGGTCAGTCTAGCTCAGCTGGTAAAAGTTTCACACTGACAACGTGTGAGCACCTGTCTGATCTCAGTCTAGGAGTATTTCCTTGAGAAGCCAGAGTAGTGAAAAGCAGTATACAAGCAGGGTCTGCTTCAGATCAAGGTGCAGGGGTTTGGGATGATGGCAATTTGGTAACCATGCTGAACATTGTTTAAGTACTATATGTGATTATTTCCTTTAAGAACCTGAAGCTGGGCATGGTGGTACACACCTGTAATCCCAGGACCTGGGAGGCTGAGGCAGTAGGACCAAGCAAATTTGATGCTGGCCTGGGCTACAAAGCCAACCTGAATTACACAGTGAGACCCTATCTGAAAAAGCAAGCAGAAACCCAAATAAGCAACAAAAAAAGAAAGTTGAGAACTATTATCACCTTTATTTTATAAAGAAACCTAAATTCAAAGAGATTCAATAATTTCTAAGAATTTACATACAAAATCTGGACTACGGGTCTATTACTGAGTTGAACTTAGGTACTAGTTTTCTGATAAGAATACAACTACAGAAGGGAGCTTGTGGTCGCCTCTTCGGGTCTCTGTTGGCCCCTTTTCTGACTCTGACCCATGAACTTAGCTCTAGCCAGTGCAGCCAAGTGCACATTCATGTGGGGTCAGAAAGAGGTGTGATAAGTGGATCCATAGCTCCATACTCCAGCAGGTGAAGCTAGATTTACCTCTTCTGCCCTTCTTTCTCATCTCTGCAAGTTGTCTGTGGTTGAATAATTTCCTAAAAGTATATTTTCCAATTTCTTACCTTCTGCTGTTGGTTTGCTTCAAAT